ATGGATTGTATTACCTTCAGTTTGTAGATTGAGGTATCCTCTTTTACTCACATCAGAGATTTTTGACTCCTTTTTGTCGCCACGTGGTTCGTTCAGCCCTTTGTTGGCTGTTTCCAAGTGGTGAGGAGAGTTCTCCCGATATTTTTGACGCAATACAATATCTTTAACTTTAAAGATCTGATGACACGACACACCAACACCCATTTGCCATGGAAAAGAAAGAAACTTGAAAACCGCATGTACTAACACAAAAATTCTCTCATGTTGATGTGGAAAAATTTTCCAGGTTAGTTTTCGATGAGATAAAAATAGAGGAAGCTCGCGATGTGTTTATGACGTCATAATTTATGTGTGGCCGAGTTAATATGACGTCATCTCTCGGGAAAAAAATTGATTCGAGTAAAATATTTTCATTTCGCTCAGTTTTCGGCTTTAGATTTCTTTTCCTTTCTCTTTTTTTTTTCTTTTTCTTTTCAATGACCTTAAATTACATGGAACATCTCAGTATTACAGCTTTTAAGTTATGACGTATTTCCGGGTCCAGCTGCTCACAGTATAGAGCTTTTAATTTAYGACGYATTTCCGGGTCCAGCTGCTCGCGAAAACCASTATAAAAATACGCGRAAAATGTTCTCTATGATWTAATCTCTACGTSAAACAATCAGAACTTTAGCGACAAWTCCTGTCAYAAAGAAAAAGTAAGAAAAACCTTCATAGAACTACTTTTTGTTTTTCCCCAATACAAGTGACGCCACACGTAAAACTCAATTGATCAACGTCTGAACGCGCTGAGGTCTCAATAATATCCATGCAAAACGCGTTTTTGAAGGATTTTGATTTTATTTCCTGAATATTGATAATGTTAAATTCACATCATTGGTTTAAGCACTTTGTTGCRTGATGTTGCGTGATTTTTGCTGCAAATTTCGTTACTAGAACAGGACAATTGTCTGCCCGTGGATCAGGTATACACAGGAAACCCAGACATCACAAAAGCCGTAATACAGTTTTTTTAAGTAATGAATAATTAAATCAACAACTGAGTAATTAGTTTTAGAGTGTCTTATATTCATCCTTACAAAGAGAGTGTGGATTTTTAACTCTTAGGGTAAGTGATAACAGGAACAGTAGGTCGCTTCTTGTCTTTATCCAAACTGCCCTGTTCAAACGACGAGGGTGGTAAGGACATGTGTCTTGTTTTCTCCTTTTGAGTTGCGTCATCGGCTAAATATAGAAAAACATAACAAGATAAGCCTTATGTATTTTTGAATTAGAAATCGGGTAGATCTCTTTAGTGAAGTGTAATTTTTATCTTATTTGATACCAAGCGTCATTTTCTTGAGAATAAGATTCTTTGCTTCAAGTTGTATCCATATTCTTGTGTCTTCTCGTGCGCAGTCGTTAAACAAGTGAATTAATGTTACTCTAGAGAATGACATGTGGTCTGAAATGGGGCCCAAGGCAAGAAAACCTGCTGGGACATGGCAGCACAACACACTTTCATACAGAGCACTTCGCTCATGGTCGCGAGTGTCCGTGTCTCATAATAGTTCTTTTCTTTTCTTTTCTTTTCTTTTTCTTTTCTTTTCTTTCTTTTCTTTTCTTTCATTTTTATTTTATTTTGTCGAACTAATGTGCATCCTCAAGGGAAATACCTAGGATAAGACTTAGAGTCCCGTTCGCGCTCTCCCTTTTGTGTAGTCTTTCACATTTATTTTTATAATTATAAATACATGCACCTTAGCTATTGATGGGTTGCAAGCACTCCCAAGAGAGTCAAAAGACAAAAACATGGCGGCCATTGTGGTACCGTTAACAATGGATGCTAATGAGAAATCTTTTGTTAAATGGTACCAACATGGCCGCGATGACGTAACGTGCAAACGAACAATAGCTAAGTTTGCGATGTCTCCACTTACCTTCAGGGCGGAGATTAACAACTTCAATTCGATCTCCRCTGTCATTCACATCACATACTTCCAAATCCTGTTCCTCCCTTCCTTTATTCCGGTTCTCAATCCCTTTCAACTCTTTATCAGAAGAGTCCTTATCTGTTTCCTTCTCTCGATCTATATCTCGTACCTCAGGGGAACGACAACACGATGAACAAGCACCCATTTGCCATTGAACAAAGTCGTTATTTTTTTAGTTTTTAATCGAGCAAATGATAATTAAATCGATCAACAAGTGATTAAGAATATCAATGGCATTAATTAATATRATTATAGAAAACGCGCGCATTTATTGTGACGTCATGCACGCTGATAAGTTACCAACTCAACCACAGTTTTTTTTCCAATTCACAAAAAAAACTTCTTTTGGATCAGTATCAGACTTTCCATTAGTTATAAATATATTTCAAATCTGAATCAAGTGTTCACTTTAGTATTTTTATTATCACAAAAAAATTACATTCGCTTTGCAAGACTCCCATCTTTCAAAACCTACCACAGGTAACCCAATGCAATTCAATACGATTTTAATTTCATTAGTATCAGAATTTATATATCTAATATTAAGTCGTTTGCAGGTCCATATTCTCTTGTACTTCACACAATAATCTATCTACAGCAAATTGATAAAGTTCYTGGTTGACTTTTTGTAGTTTGTTGACTTCCTTCACTAATTCTTCAGGAGTATTTAGTTCCTTTGTTCTGGCAGAAGTGCTGGTGTCTGAAACCATCCCGTACTAGGAGAAAAAAACATAATAAGAATAAGAATAATGGGATATTGGGAATAGAAAGTTAAGAAAAGAGAAATTGAGAMTTACCTCGTCTATGACTTTTAGTACTTCGTCTTCGATATCGTCTGTATCTGAAGTCTGGAAAATATGKAACCGTATACATGTCAAGAAAAAAACTTAACCAAACAAACTTTTGAAATATAATTCATCGAAGCGAATGGCGATATTCAAAAGGGTAGAGGTGGAACATTCCAAGGGGGAAAACAAAACA